CGGTTGGTGGATGGGGTCCACGCCACCCTTCAGTTTCTTCCAACGCTAGGTGGCGTCCTTGTTTCGGGGGTGTTCCAAACAGGGGCTCACGAAATACTGAAAAGGCCGCCCCGAACGCACAGCAACGCGAGCACCGCGCGACACGGCCACCCCCGATACAAAGTCAGTGGGGATCGTGGGCCGTCCACGCAAATCTGGGCACCCCACGGCAAGCAGTTTTACTGATGTCTACCTTACTGCGTGTGCGGCCGAAAGGGAGAGCTGTCGCCGCTAGACACAGACTCAAGGATGTTCATGCTCGCATTTTGCGAGGAGCGTAGAGTCGGGCCCCTGACATCGTCAGGGTATTGGAAGACGACTGTCGCCGCGTCTTTATAGCCATGTGGATATTCTGGCGCACCAACAACAGCATCTTCATCATCAGTTCCTGAACGGAGTGCTTCCGGGCCACGTGGAAGAACTTTCGGCTGATAACCAGTGCTTTGCCGATTCATTGTCATATTAAGCAAGCGTGCATTGTTACTAAATTATTGATGGAATGTAATGTGCGTTGATCATATTCTTCTTCTAGTAGCTCACGAGAAGCTAACCTCCCACTACTGGCTGCGTAATGGCTCACGAACGCATGGCTGCGTAATGCCGTTAACAAAAAAAATCAAAACCGAACCAAACCGGCCGAACCGAACTGGGCCGAACCGAACCCGGGCAAACCGCACTTGTCCTCAACAGGAACCGAACCGAACCGGAACAGAACGAGACCCAATTTTGAACCGAACCGAACCGAACCGGAATCGATTTCGAACCGAACTGGGCCGCACGGGATGGAACCGCCATGAAGTGGAGGTCTCCAGGGCCCTGATTTTGCAAGTCTCGAGGCCGTTCGGCCCCGAAGCCCGGGGCCCCGATTCTGCAAGCCCCCCGAGAACCCCCGGGGCATCGATTTTGCAAGTCCCCGGAGACCCCAAGAGGCCCCGATTGTGCAAGCCCCTGGAGGCCCCCCATGGCGTTGATTTTGCAAGTCCCCAGTTTTGCAAAATCCTCGGAGGCCGCTCGCAAGTCCCAGACGCCGCTTGCAAATCCTCGAAGCTCGTTGCAAGTCCCTGGAGGTTCCCCGGGGCCCTGATTTTGCAAGTCCCCCAAAGCCTGTTCGCAGGTACCCGGAGTCCTGGCCCTGATTTTGCAAATCCCCGACGCACTTTGCAAGTCCCGGACGCGAGTTTGCAAGTCCCCGAGGCCATGTAGCAAGTCCTGGAAGCCGTTTTGCAAGTCCCAAATGCCATTTTGCACCTTCCAAAAGCCACTTTGCAAGTCCTGGAAGCCAGTTTGCAAGTCCCGGGGGCGTTCCTCCTTCCTCCTCCTCCTCTTCCTCCTCCTCCTCCTCCTCCTCCTCCACCTCCTCCTCCTCCTCCTCCTCCTCCTGCTCCTTCCTCCGTCTCGTCCTCTCCGTTCCCGCCCACGCTTCCCTTGGAGCGGCAGCGAAGGGCGCGGCGCCTGCTCGCCACGTCGCCGTTCGCCTCCTTGTCCTGCTCACCGATCCTTGTCCTGTTCCTCCCCCCTTCTCCGTGGCGAACTGGGCGGAACTGGAGCAAAACGCATTGCGAACCGGGCCGAACCAGACGGCACTCCTCACACCGACAAACCGACCCGAACCGAACCAAAGAATTCCGACACCGAACCGAACCGAACCGAACCGGACGCACTTCGGAACCGAACCGAACCGAACCAAACCAGACCCTTCCTGGTTAAGCAGACCTACACTAAGGAATGTACTTATGATGTATCCGTATGCGCGCGCGTGAGGCGGGCCCGCCTGGCTGGCCGGCGCGCGCGATTTTGTTTGAGTAACTATCGCAGCTGCGGAGACAATCCCTCCGCATGATCCATGCTCTACCTACACTCTGCAAAGAGTGGAGGGCTGTAGAGGTAGGCGACAAGAGGGTTAGTAATGACTATTTCCCTCGGTGGAACAAAACCTTTGTAGTGGCCTATGAAGGAAGAGCCTGGAAGGAGGGTTTACTGCAACATCGTTGATGGGTCTTGGGTTTAGATTTGTCCTCCTCCTCCTCCTCCTCCTCCTCCTCCTCCTGGTTCTCTCCTCATCCTCCTCCTCCTCCTCCTCATCCTCCTCCTCCTCCTCCCCCTCCCCCTCCCTCTCCTCCCTCTCCTCCCTCTCCTCCCTCTCCTCCCTCTCCTCTCTCTCCTCCCTCTCCTCCCTCTCCTCCTCTCCTCCTCCTCCTCCTCCTCCTCCTCCTCCTCCGCCTCCGCCTCCGCCTCCGCCTCCTCCCTCCTCCTCCTCCTCCGCCTCCGCCTCCGCCTCCGCCTCCGCCTCCACACCTCCACCTCCACCTCCACGTCCTCCTCCTCCTCCCTCCTCCTCCCCTCCTCCTCCTCCTCCTCCTCCTCCTCCTCCTCCTCTTCCTCATCCTCCTCCCACTCCTCCCTCTCCTCCTCCTCCCTCTCCTCCTCCACTTCGTCGTCCTCCTCCTCCTCCTCCTCCTCCTCCTCCTCCTCCTCCTCCCCCTCCTTCGCCTGTCCGGCGCGGCAGGCAGAGCGCGCGGCGGCTAGACTGACGCAGAAGTCGCCGATCGTTGCGTGCAATGCGCCCCAGCCGCCTTCCTCTGCCGCGGCCTCGTGCCCGCGGAAGCAATTCGCTTGCCTGTCGGGCATGTCCCGGGGCCAAGAGGGCGCCCCGACGCATGGTGGCAGCGGCCGAACCGCCCGCGGCTCGCCGGACTGGTGGCCACCGATGCTGTCTTTTTTGCACTGCAGCACGCGGACCTGGCCGAGCAGGGTGTGCTGCTGCTGGTGGGCAACGAAGCAGTGGTCCGAGGCTTGCGCCGTCTTCGAAGTGCTGTGGCAGACTGCGCAGCTGGAGAGGCATCTGACCTCTGGCTCCGGATCGCACGGCTCGCCGTCCTAGCCCTGGACAAGTGGTACGTCGTCTGGGTCCCGAGCCACACCGACGACCTGGAGCCAGCGAAGGCCGAGCGCCGGCTTCGACGCGCCCGCCAGCAAGCCTGCTGGGCCGAGGCACGGCTGCAGGCTAACGCGGACGCTGACACCGCTGCCGAGCGCGGCCTGGAAGGCCACGCGCTCCCAGCGGCCACAGTGCGCCGTGTCAGGGACATCGACCAGAAGGTCGGTACGGTCCTCAGCCACATGGCAGCGACTGTGGCCGGGGAAGCAGGAAAAGGCTAAGCGCAGCGGCTGGGTCTGCGCTCTCTTTTCCTTTCCCGCCCCCCCTTTCCCCCCTTGTCCCTTCCCCGACGTCCTGAACGGGCTGTGCGAAAGCACCAGACCGCGTGAACTTGAGCTTTGCCTTTGCCTTTGCCCTTGCCTCCTCCTCCTCCTCCTCCTCCTCCTCCTCCTGGTCCTCCTCCTCCTCCTCCTCCTCCTCCTCCTCCTCCTCCTCCTCCTCCCCCTCCTCCTACTTCTCCTACTCCTCCCCTTTCTCCCCCTCCTCGCCCTCCTCCTCCTCCTCGCCCGCCTCCTCCTCCTCCTCCTCCGCCTCCTCCTCCTCCTCGCCCTTGTCCTCCTTCCTCCTCCTCTTCCCCCTCCCCCTTCCTCCTCCTTTTCCTTTTCCTCCTCCTCCTCCTCCTCCTCCTCCTCCGCGTGTCGGCGTCGCGCCAAGGGGGGGAGTGAGAGGGGGCAGGCATTTCGGAAGCCCCCGCGCATGCTGAACGGCGCCCTGCGGTTTGGGGAAAGGATCAGACAGCTTCTCAGAAGGCGGAGGCCTTCTCAGGCCCGCCCCCTCCCCCTCCCCCAACCCCCTCTACATAGGCGCGCCGTCGTCATGCGCCCCCCATCCGCTGGCCTCGTCTCGCTCAGGGTTGGCGCCCTTGGGCATCGAGAACTTGGAGGCGGCCTCCTGCAACCACTTTTTGGAGAAGCTCTTCCGCCGGTCCTGTCCCCGGACGAGGTGAGGGGCAATATTGAAAGGACGAAAGGAGAAAAGTTGGAGAACAACATGTACTCTCGTCGAGGTATGCGCTTCGCAATGAGCTGCATTGCAATTGAAACGCGATGTTCTCGATTGGAAGACGCCCCTATGATGACTGATCGATCATTGGCATTGTCGACTCGTCGACCAAACTACACTCATCACGACAGTCTTCACAATAATCATCACCAACAATTTCTTCAGCATCCTCATCATCATCTTCCTTGTCGCCAACATAATCATCATGATCATCATGATCAGCATCAGCATCATCATCATCATCACCACTACCACCACCACCACCACCACCACAATCATCATGCTCCTTGTCGTCGTCATCACCACAACCGCCAACAACATCATCATCATCACCACCACCACCACCACCATCATCATCATCATCATCATCATCATCATCATCGTCATCATCATCATCGTCATCATCATCATAATCAGCATCATCAGCATCATCATCATCATCATCATCATCATCATCATCATCATCATCATCATCATCATCATCATCATCATCCCCACCATCATCATCATCCTTATCATCATCAGCAGCAGCAGCATCATCATCATCATCCCCATCATCGTAGTGATCATCCCCATCATCATCATGATCAGCAGCATCATCATATTCTTCATCATCAACAGCATCGTCATGATCATCATCATCATCAGCAGCATCACCACCACCATTATCATCAGCATCCTTACAGAAACCACCATGATTATGCTTGCCATCACTCACACAGGAGAGGCAGGAGCACGCGAGAGAGGAAGGACGAAGAGGGAGGTGAGGGGTAGAGAGGATAGGGGACAGAGAGGAAGGAGGCGGGGCGCACGGGGGGGAGGAAGGGGAGCGGGCAGAGACGGCGACCGAAGAATCAAGCCACACTCATCCGAAGTCTGGATGTTTTCGGCACGTGGCCCCTGAAAGCCCCAACACTTTCCTCGACGCCGGCGTTTCAGCCCGAATCGTTCCTTGTTGGCGGCTGCGGGGCCGCGCGAGACCCTTTCCGGACGGCGAGGACGGCCAAAGACCTTCTCTTCGTCCCCCAGACTCCACGGTTGGCCCCCTCCGCCCGCCTCTCCGCCTGCAGCTCGGGCTCGCGAGGAGCGCAAGCCACGACCCGCCCGCGCCCAGCCGTACGAGCATGTCTGGGGCCGTCGGCGCCCGTGCCCGTGCCCACGCGCAGGGCGCCGCCTCGCCTCGACCTCCGCGCCCTCGCCTCGCCTCCCACCCGTGCTCCCCTGCCGTCCACCGCCGCACCTCGCCGCGCACATCGCCTCGGCCACGACTCGCGGCCGCATCGCCGTGCAGCCACGCTGACCTGCCGCGCGTCGCCTCCGAGCCCTTTCCGTGCCCCCTACCTGGTCCCTCTCCGAGGGTATAAGGACCGAGGGAGACACAAATCCCACCAGCCCTCTGGGCGGAGGTGGCTTAGAGCCGTTCTTCAACTATCCCCAGTCTTCCAATTCGGGGAAAGGTTTATCATTGTTCCCTGTTAGTGGAAAACCCCCTCCCCCAGGCAACCGGCAGCCAACCAGGACTAATGCCAACACCCACCCCATCCCTGTCAAAAAGCATACGAAGCACACGTTGGGGCAAAATCTTCGGTCATGCTCGTGAGCCCCGCGAGCACTTTGTATTGTTTTTTTTCTGGGCGGGCAACTGCATAAGAGGGCAGATCCGCAACTCCGAATGGCTGACAATGGAGATGATATCATTCTTTGACGAGTAAGACAATCACAATGAGGCCCATGCTTTCTGAAACCTGAACGACGTGTCGGATGGCAATGCAGGGTCGATTGCTGGCGCAGAAAGCTAGCAAATCTCTGTTTGCACGACTCGCAGCACAGACGCTGAAAGATGCGGGGCTTGTCGTCGATGAAGCGGTTGTCCGCATACCGCTAAACATCGCGCAAATTTGCCATGTGGGCGGTGACAGCACATGTTGAAGTCAGGGGGCGGACTGACCGATCCTGGCCCTCTTTGGGGTGATATTTCCACGCTGATTCGCAGCGAGGTGACTCGATTAATCGAACGATGCTGGGCTGCCAAAGTATACCCAAATATTGTCGTCTTGGACGCAGCTGTTCTGTGCGTGGGACTCAGACATCCACCCCAACGCCAATCGCCACTTCTATGATCGAGGTGAAACATGCGTGAGCCCCGAAGGGGAACAGATGACGGCGCCCCGTAAGCTCGCAGACTACATCCCGAAGACAAGTAGACTCGCCGCCTACTTCTACGCACAGCTCCTCGGTGGCTCCGCTGCCGTGGGCGGGCAGCCACAACCTGGACTGCGCAAAGAAGCGACCTGGCATAGACTGGGCGGATTGAAGTGAAACGAGAGCACAGATTCCCGTTTCTACCCTCACCGCCAGGCCCTTTTCGGATACATTGCGAGATGGGGAATTCCCGTATGTCCCCGGCGTGGAAATATCGCATTTATCGACTGAGTTTCGGGAAAACTTGGCAAAAGAGAAAACATGGGTTCTGGACAAGAAAGAACATTTACCTTTCCTCGCAAGACTGACTCAAGTGCTAATCCCGGACATGCCTGCCGCTGGCGTAGAGCGCTGCCACTGCCGGAATGACGTGGCAATGAGACACGCTGTGGACAGCGCGTGGATGGAGCACGCGGGTACAGCACCGGCCGAGTCTGCCGAGCACTCAACCATGGCAAGAGATACTGGATCGGACACGATCTCCCTGCCGGGAGATGGGAACGATGAACGCGGAAATAGAACAGTGGGAACTGATCGCCAGGCCGATTGGGGCACGAATTCCCCCGCGGAAGGGCCAGAGACACGGGCAGAGGCGGTCGAGGATGATGTCCGCCTCCAACGCCGACTAAACATGACATATGTTTCTCTTGGCAACCAATCGGAAGCTGAAAGGATGGCCACGGTACCTGCCATAAGGGATCAACCCGAAACAAGTCAGTAGCGATGACTACATTTACGATTGGCCGCCACGTCAGAGATGGCAACGGACGGCTTGGCACGATGGGCCCCCGCGGCCACAGAAGCGCGAAAGCGAGATCACCCGCGCAGCAACACGAATTGCTGGCCAAGGGAATCCTATGACGCACAAATGAGGGATTCAGTGAACCTGAGCCGAGGGGGCCTATGTTGATTCAGTTACGACTCCAGAGAATATGCGCACACTGAGACAACCGACCTCAACTAAAGCACCCTGGCCAAGTAGTTGCTAAGCCGCGCAAAACGGAAGACTCCGAAGCCCGAACTGGATTACATAGTACCACTCTAGGTTCAGATGTTGGCTCTCAAGAGAGATCGCAAGGCTGGAGTCGATGATGCCTCATGCACGGGCAGATTGGGCTGGTCCAGCGCCGCTGTGAAAAGCTTCCTCGACAAACGCTGCTGCGCGAGAATGGCCCCCCCCTTCTTCGTCGCAGATGCTAAGCAGAAAGAGGTCCGAGACAAAGACTGGCGGCATTTCGCGCATGGGACACCTGTTCACACTGTTGGAACCATTGTCGAAGGCCACATGCTCCTGCGATCCACGCGGCGGCGGGATCCTGCGAAACCGCGCAGGGGTCGACAGTTGCTACGAGATCCACGACCCCCCTGGCCAGCATCTGGACCACGCAATGGCGGGGGAAATCTTCGCGGATGGAATATGGTGGACAACGAAGATCATCTTCTCCAGCCCGCCAGAACATGCGAAGTCCATCAAAAGCCCGGGCGCAAAGCTGCGGGCGCGCCACGCAGGTGCAAGACAGGCTGCACTAATGGAATTACGCCCCCACGCGTGGACCCCTGCCGCGCTGCACGACTCAGGCCCGGCATGGGCGCTACTCCGGCACCTGGCCCCCCCCGGAGAGGCAATGGAAACAGACTTTAAGCTCGAACGAGAGCGGAGGCAGGAATAATGCGACGCGGTTCGCGCTGCGCGGGCAGCGTGGGCACCAGGGCTGGGACCAGACTCGAACAAAGAACTGTTCGAACAACCACTCAGATCGTTCCAGGCCCAGAGCGCGAGATAGTATGAATCAGACTGCGTGGAAATCAGCGCGCCGTCCGTAAGCTTCACCCTCCTGTTGCGATGGGCCCGCCGACGACGATCAAGGACAAGCGCGCCCTGCGCCTCGCGATAGCAAATGAGGAGCATGGATCTGGGGCGCGCTGCCCCGCATCGCAGAAACCGAATTTTGGGACAATGCCGGCGCTGCCAAGGATGATGATAATGTTTCGCATGGGCCCGCGCCCAACCCGACGACCTCTGGCTCGGCTGGCTGGCGAGGTGGAGAGGACCAAAGAATGCCAGAAACTGCCTACATATTCGTTTATTGAAGTAGGTGCTCTTTCGGACGCTGACGAAAAAGATGGCGCAAAACGCCGAACTGACTATAGAGTTCGAAGAAAGAGAAGGGGCAGCCGATGCTGAGATAGCGGAAGCACAAAAGATAATGACGCAGAGCACCGACTGGAACAAAATATTCGAGCAAGAGAAAGGGCAGCCGACGCTAGCACATCGGAAACACAAAAGAAAATACACGAAATCAAAGGAAGAGAAAGAGCAAACAAAATCGCAGCTCAGGGAAAGGACGTGAGTTTCGACATAGCGAGACCCCCCGCAGAGTCTGGGGCCCTCCCTCAGACAGCACAAGCCGCAATGTCGACGGGGCTATCATTTAAGGCGCCACCCCCAGGCAATGGGAATCCAACGCAACCTCCAAACGCGACGGAAACCCACAAAAACGGCACGCCCGATCCAATGCATCCCGTCCGTAATAGCGCTTCCGCTGGCTCAGCCGGCAGGGGGCTCCGACTCGGAGCGGGCCCGGGGGCGGTGCACTTGTTCGACCTATGGAACGGGCGCGCACCTCACTCAGTAGGTTCGATAGCCGATGGTCGCGATAAGTGTAACCATGATCCGAATGCGCCCGAGGTAGCCCGCCCTATCCTGAAATCATTCGTCTATA